GAGGACGCTGCCTAAATAGAGATGTGAACAGGTGCACATAATAATGAAACAGGTGAAACTAATGTGAGTGATGAAGAATGTAAAGAAAAGACCAGAACTAAGGTGAAACAAAACAGGAAATAGTGTCAAAATAAAAGCCAGACGGGAAGCAGTGGAACCGAATCATAACACTCTGCTTAGACTGCTGCCCCCGCGACCCGGTCCCGGATAAGCGGAAGAAAATGGATGGATGGATGGATGGATGGTCCCAAAACTTTAGAGTTTCCAGCTGTGTCTGTTTTTCTGTTTGTCTTTACTTCACCAGATGTACAATATTTGTGCATTTGTTGCAATTATAGTAAAGCCTGAATTATAAGGTAGATGAAACCCCTTTAAAACACTGGCAAATGGTGGCTGCTGGCGACGTCAACTCAGAGGTAGTACACTGGTCAACAGAGCTGTGCAGAGCATTACTAAATATCACACTAGTATCTTTAGATATATTCACTTTTCAGTGGAGGAGAGAGTTTAAATTGCGAAAATTAAACAATGTTTCCACTCTGCTAATGACATGTAATTTCAACTCTTTAAGGTCCTAGACTCATGTTGGCCTTCTGTGCTAAAAGCTTCTTGAATCAGTAAGATGACTGAGTCTTGGACAGACTCGCCCACATTTTTCAGGTGTTCCTCTTTGTGACACAATTAGAGGACCCTCTTTGCTTTAGGATGTCACCCCGTGCACATGCACTGATAAACATATTAGTTCAAAGGCAAACAGGCAGAACAACATTTCTGACTTAATAGACATTTTTGTTTCAAAAGTAGGTAACTGCATGTAAATACATAGAAGTAGTGGCTCCATTACACTGTGATACAGTATGTAATCACCAGCCTATATGTCCCCTCCCAGCTACTGTACGAGGAGTGCCCATAGTTCCAATTAGGGTAATCGCTGTGAGGCTTTGGAATGCTGCAGAGACAGAGGCTGAAATGACAATGATAAATTTAATTATGGATTTTGAGTTATGGCCATTTTGGAAATGCTCCATGAATGCAGCACACCCTATCAGTTTGAATGCTACCGAGCTCAGTGTTTACGCCGTTGTACAAAGTTCAACAATGTTGCTGATGTAAAAAACGTTTCTTAGGAAGTCTTGTCCAGTAATACACATTAAAATAGATCTGAAATCACTGTGTGTTTTCTCTTCAGCCAACAGCTCACTAAAAACACAAGCACATCCTGTTTAGTCCCAGTACACAGCATTAATCTCAAAGTAGGGCTGCTGGAAATCACCACCATGAAGTACTGGTTACATAAACAAGTTGTAAAGGGATTCATATGATTCTTATTATTTAGGCTTTTCAGGAATAAGTGGTATAGATAATGGAGGGTTGAAGTCAAATTTTATTGTGTAGATAACATTTATTTTCTACTTTTCTACTTTTTTACTTTTATATACTTTCAATGTGTAACAGGTCCTGTAGATTCTGCTGGACAGACCTTTAGGCAAAGTGCTTAAAAATAAGCTCCTTTACAAAAAAAAAATAAGCTTCTTTACAAACATTAGCAGTGGCATTACAATCAGGTGCCACAGCTGTAACAGCAGCTTGCCTATATCTGCCTACAGCCAGGACTAGTCTGTGCACCCATCTAGCCCGACTCTTACGCCACCTATGAGTAACAGTGCCATATTACCAACGATGTTAGTTGCTTTTTCAGGTTTTGGATCTTAGTAAAGTGGTTCAAATCATCTGGCTTAGCTGCATACAAGCTCACCCATATGTACACCACCAGAGAGCAGCAGCACATTAGAGAAATGTTGCAGGCACTGTGTAACAGTTCTAGAAACATTGCCATTATGCTCACACATGCACAACACATCCAGTGATGCAGGTCTCTGAAAACCTGATAATGCACTGGTGAAGATGATGCACAGATACTTTAGCACACCTTGTGAGCAAACAATCTGAAGGGCCTCAGGCTGTTACTTTTAGCTTTAGGAGGTGAGAAGAGCATTGTCTTTATCATGTCACAACAAATTTGAATATAATTACACGGACACTAAACAGCCAAAGTCCTCTGACTTCCTTTGCTTTGTATTTGGTCTGAGGCTGTTTGTATCTGGACATCACCCAAAGTAACTTATACTGTAAATCATGCTTTCTGATTATAGAGAGACATGTTAGTATCTCTGTTCTTTGAATGTGTTAATGTTTCTAATTTCAGTTTTATTTACTTTCTTCCTTTTTAAAAAGCACATGTTTTAAACATTTCCCTTGTTTTTGCAGTCCAGTGACAAAACCATTCAGAGTGAGGTTTTTCAGTGTTTTTAATGTGTCACTAGTGAGTGTGTGTCGAGCCACGGGGGTTTCACGTTAGTGACTTCTATGCTGGCCCCAACCCCGGATAAGTAGAGAGGGTTGTGTCAGGAAGGGCATCCGGTGTAAAAACATGCCAAATTTAATAATGCAAATTGGATTCGCTGTGGTGACCCCTTACAGGAACAGCCAAAAGTAGAGTAGTTTAATAGTAATGTGTGACTCCTGTGTAAGTCTGCGTTCCTACTGGTCTTCACCCTCATGTTTTCTACACTTTCACTTTGTGCACCCCTTCTACAGTAGATTGTCTCCAGCTCTGATTAACTCAAACAACCAGAAAACAAAAGAAGACTTGAAAGAATATGCACAAAATTCACTTTGATGAATATGCAGAGAAAAACTGCTCTGTCTTTTACATCACCTGTACTGATGTGTATTGAGTGTGAAATTTGACAAACAACAACAGTAAATGCATGGAGACAATCAAATTGCTCCTGTGTGGCTGCAGTGGTGGTCTGGTCACACTGTTTGACATGGAGGAATTTATGGCCAGTCTGATGTTTTTGATTGCTTTAAAAACTAAAAACAATGCAAAGTCATTGCATTTAATTTGAGAAAGAAAATTGGGGGCTAACTGCACTGGGGGATTAGTTGGCTTCTCAACAATGGCAAACAACACATGAGAATTATTGATGTTTCTGCTGATGACCTTAGACTTATTTACTTCAGAGCTGTAAATGCGAAGCCTCTCTCTAAAGAGAAAAACTGCTCATAGTGAATCTGAAGATTGTTTCCTCCATTTGTGCTCAGCTTTCCTGCACCCTAGTTTCTCACTTGTGACTGCCAGAGTGTTCCCTCATGGCGCTTTTTGCTTACCAGAGGTGTATTTTACCCTTTCAGGTGTACATTCTGATGTTATGAATTACTGATACAGACATAGCTTCCATAAAGACAGATGCGGTATGATAATTTAAATATCTTTTCTTTAACAGCAACTGAAGTGTTATGGGTAGCAGGTAAAACCAACCTGCATCCTTGACAACATTGCTTGAGATATCAACACCCTGAGTTAAAACTAAACCCAGTGTGCCCTTGAGTGTGTGTGGGTCCTTTCAGATGTTGCAGTAACTCACATATTTGAAGCACACCACAGAATTATTGTGCAAATTTGTCTTTTGGATTATGAGTATGAATGTTAAAGTCACCAGTTATGGCAATATGCTCAAAATCTGTTGAGACAAAAGAAACATTGAGGTTGTCTTGGAGGCCTGTATATTATTAACAGCAACTGTTCAATCAAGTTCAAATATCACTAATAATCTTTATTTTATGCTTTTAAGATCATTGACTAAGAATGACTTGTTAAGAGAGTGAATATTTAATAAAGCTGCCTTTGTGGGAGGGCCCTGAGCAGGCTGAGCATGGCAAGGAATTGTTGACAGATTTTTTGGATTATGTGACTGAACAGGGTGCATGATTCTCCTTCTATTAGCCATTATCACAGGGACAGGGAAAGCTACTGTTTGCCCACTGGGTCCCGATTTGTCCTGAGAGCAAGTGCCATCATCCTTGCAACCTAAACCCAGTAGATATTGGTAAGAGAAAGTTTGTACACAATCTCTTGTGCTGACAGGACGTCCTGTGGTTTTATCAGACAGAGGATTATTTCGCTGGTGCTGTGGAATGGGGGCGCTGGATGGTGCTGTGGTGGAGACGTGTGGAAGTTGGCTGAGGACTTAAGGCCAGAGGTGCAGGTGGAGGTGGATGCTGAAGGGGGGTTGCAGGAGAAGTAAAAGGAGGTGGGTGGGGGAAAGAGCGAGGGTCAGTTTGGACCAGTTCCATCATCTGGTCTGTAAACTCCAGAGGGAAACAGGGTGTCCAGGGAGGAGGGAGAACTCGATGTGGATTGGGGATGTGGGGGCGGTGAGGAGGGTGAGTCCCCAGTTGTGGTGGTTGGCATGTTCAGGAGAGATCCTCTGTCTGGACCCTGATGCCCCTCATGGTTTAAAGTTTCCTCAGCCAGGCCCTGAGGTGTCTCCCCTTACTGCTTACTGACTTGTTACAGTGTTGCTTCTTGGTTTTTGGCTCCTCTTGTCTCTTGTACTTGACAGGGGAACGAGAGGTGGCTGTCCTTTGTGCTTGCTGACGTGTTGTTTTGAGTCTTCTTGATGTTTTGGCTCCTCTTGTCTTTTGTCCTTGGCAGGGGGAACAGATGAGTGATGCAGGATGTACCAAAAGGTTTGAGATAAAGAGATTCACTGCTGACTTGTTAAGGCAAATGCCATCTGTCTTAAAAAGATGTCAGCAGTCTCAGAAACAGTTCTAATAATTGAAGAAGTGCACTTTCTGCAAGGTACATGAAGTTGAGAGCCCACTGTTCGGTTTTCAAGGAGCTGCTTAGCAGATTAGTCAAGTCTTGCTTTTTGTGTTTTTTTCCCTCTTGCAGCTGTCCACTGCTGTGCACTGCTACTATGCACAGGGCTTGATGAGGCTCTCTGTTTGGATGGTAATGCAGGCCAGGCAGGATCAGCGATCTCTGGCCGCCGGGCTCCGGTTACCGCTTGTCTTCTCATTTCCCAGGGATGTGATTTATTTTTTTTGGCTTTGCACCAAGAGAGTTCCAGGGAGGACTACTACTTACAGAGAGAGAATTTGCTGTGAGTTAGCATCCTCTTGTCCACTGTTTTGGGTCCATGGTAAGGTGGTGTCATTTCCACACAGTCCATTTAGTTCCCAGTTAACTTCTAATTGATGAGTCTTTGTTTCAAGTACTGCAGTCTTCTGGAGAAGTTGTTTCTGGAGAAGACTTTTTCTGAAGAGAATGGAGGCATTTTGATATGAACTAGCTTCAGCTATTTTTAGTCACCGTAGATCAGTATAGCAGCACATCAGAAAAGAGCTTTGCTGTTAGTAGGCTGTATGTTCCTCAAACCCTTGAGCAATAAAAAGTGTTAAAATATGTTTCTAGCCTTTTGTGTCCATTAAAAAAAAATAAGATCCCAATGATATGCAAGTATGCATTAGTGACCTTCTGTAAATATTGAGCAGAAAAACAAGGATCTCAATGGAGAATGTAAGCAAAGCAGAGAGCAACGCAGAAAAGCACCTGCACTGCAAGAAAGCAAGAAGTAGGACATGCCAGCATTGTTATGGAAGCCAAAAATGCCATAAAAGTGTATGTATAGATATATAGATAAAATAAAAGAAAATCTAATCTGCAGAGATATGGGAGTCAGGGTTCAACTTTATATCAGGTTAAACTTATCTTTTTGAGTTCACCTGTTGCATCACACACACGTTTTTGGGCGGTGCCATTTAATGACAGTTTAAATGTGCTTGTGATTCATCTGTCCTGATGACAATGTAACACATCAGGTCTACCTACACAACAGCAGTCAAGCAAAGTGCTTACAATAATCTGAAATATGGATGAAGACAGAAACTTGTCCAAGTAAGTAGACTCTTTTTTTTGTTGATATGTTATTTTATACAAGTAATATTGCTAATTCAAATCATTTATCTGTTAATGCTCAAAGGAGCAAATTCTTTAGAAACAACTTAAGTATAGTAACTTTAGTAATGTTTGATTTTGTGATTGACAAGTAGAAAAATTATAGTAGAAAATATTTCTGAAGTTGTTACCTGTGTCATGCTCCTAATGTTCACTTTTTGTTAATTGTGTAAGAGAGATGAATATACAACATTCAATTTGTGGTCTTGTTTTACTGGAGCTGTGCACTGAACATGTCTGGACTGACATTAATGCTTAAATTCATTATGGGAGCAGTTTTGGCACAAGAGGAGCTGTATATAAGCTCTTTCCTCTCGTCCTACAAACATACACAGTTCTCTCTCAGACATTTGACCCTACAGTACAGTAACTAACAGACTTTAGTCATCTAACAAATAAAATTTGATTTGATTTGATTTGATTTGATCTACCTGCATCGCTAGATTCCTCCCTAGGGTTTGACATTTTGGTGTGTTTATTTAGGAGGCTGTGGGATACCTGTCGAGAGGTCCCCATCATCGAAGATAAACAAACGCCCTGGAAACTTTTCAAACTACTAAAGATCATCACTCTCTTTGTAGTTGCGGTGCTTGTGTTTGGGTTGGCATTATGTAGCAAGGTTTGTTCTATAAATAACAAACAGTGTTTGTATATAGCTTTTTTGGCTGCATGTGTTTTTGTGATGTGCATAAGCACATCTTCTGTTCTTTCTGAGGGAAAGACGCATTTAAAATGTCAATTACTAATCTACAGAATTATTTTCATGAAATTCAATATTTTGTGAAAAACCTAGCTTCAGATATTGTTTACTAATTCCCAGGACTATTGCTAATCCCATTAATTCCCAGGTGGAAAATAGTAAAGTTAACAAATTCTCATTTTAAGTAATCATATCTTATCAAACACATAGAAATACTAAAGTTTCAGCTTTATAAACCCTTTATAAAATGTATTATACTCCCTATTCTTCATTCTGTGAGACAACATGTGTCTTGTCTCTGTTCCAGACATCTTTCCTTCTCCTCATCACCTTGTCCAATGAAGGAACAACAACCATCCCAGCAGAGCAGAAACCTCTCGCTCTGCTGTGTATCGGCTGTTCGCTCATCACCTCCAGCATCCTGCTCTTACTTAAGAGCATCTGGAAATCATGTTACAAATCCTCAAATCTGCCAGGCAAAAACTCTGTGGTTTTGGTGAGAAACCTCACAAGATTTCTTAATGGCATTTCATCTACATGGAAAAAAAGATAATCATATGTATTGGAAGTGAAAACAAAGTTATAAGTTATCAATTAATCACAAATAGTTACTTTGTTACTGTCCTACATAATTTTACTAGCTGAGACCTGGCCTCACTAAGTGATGGGGGAGATGAATGAAAATTAACTGACTGCATGGGGAGTTGGGTTGGTAACCAGCAGACACAGAGGAATGGTGGTTTTGGTAGAATTAAATAGAGCGAGAAGGGGGGTAGTTCAGGTCAAATCCCTCCCCCGAACTTCAGATAATTACATTTTCTACATTTAACTAATTGGGTATGATACTGCAGCAAAAATATTACCTTTAATTGACACAGTGGGCATCTTAGCTGAGTGAACAAGTCTAAAAGTTGGTTTTTAACAATTACATTTTGGGAACTGGATTTGAAAATGAACTCGCACTGAAACAGAGCATGTTCACCACTAGCAGCACCAGAAACCATAATGTAGGTGTCCCAACAGAAAAGTGGGTGGGCCTCTTCCATAACCATTACCTTAGTGATACCAGCTAAAAACCATGGCTATATCCAGATCATACATACTTTCTTTAGGTCTGAGGTGTCCTACCTGCTGGCTAGCTTACAGTTTAAATGATGACGGGGATTTCAAAACAAATGTTTTATTTTTATTAGTCAGGTGTTGATTATTGACTATATTTCATTGAATGATCAGCTTTTCTCCCCTGACTCTCGTGACAGTGTGGACCTAGGCTCATCCAGGCTCACAGTGCCACTGCAGATGTTCACCAAACAAACCCACAGTAAAATGTAAAAGACCTTCTCTGCTGATTCTTCTTCAGGTTCTGTTCTTTGAGTTTTTGGTGTCCGTGGGTTCAGCGATTCTTACCATCGTGGCGATGCCACACTTGGACATCGTGACCAATGCAACAATACTGAATGGTGTAGCCGTCCTCTCTGCGCTCCTACAGGTGATCACTCAGTGCACTGCCAAAGAAAGGAACCGCTTCCTCCTGCCATCCATCACCGCCTTCATCCTCATTTTGCTCGGCTACATCCTGTTCCTCATCCTCTACATCATGAAAGGTGACACCAGGATGAGCATTTGGGTGGGCCTGGCTGTTGGTGGGTCCTTCTTGGTGTCTTTCAACTGGTATGAGAAATACTTCAGAGTGATCGGGGAAAACAGCAGCTCCATCTTCCTCAAGAACCTTTGCAAAGACATGACCAAATGCCAGAATGTTCTGCACATCCTCTCCAGCCTGCTCAGGATTGCGGTGACCACTTCTGTTCTTGAAGCTTATGTTCCTCTGTCCAAAATGGACTGGGGCATTGTGACCTCCATCCCGAGCCGTGAGACAAGAATTATTGCCATCACCATCGGGGTCCAGCTGATCTCCTCAGCACTCTGCCACTGGTTTGCGTTGGCAGCTTGTAAGATGCGCGCCCTGCAAAAATGTTTCATCCTACCGTTGTACCTGGCCTCTCTGGCTGTTATGGCTGTTTTAGTCATCCCTGTTGTTGTTTACTATGAGGACTACAGAAGAAGTCTGAACGAAAGTACAAGCATCAACTTCTCAGGCTATTGCAATGTAATTGCAGATGGAAGAAACCAAAGCCTGAACGACAGTGTGTTTCCACATCTGGTTCTGGATGTTACGCACACTCTGTGTTTCCTTGACATGTCCCAGATATCTGACATTGGCATGCTTACAGGTAATAAACTGGGGCTACTGGGGTTACATCAAGAAATAATGCACATTATCGTCACATGAAAAAGTTCTGCAGTTGCACAGTATGGTTTTGGTTGAGCTACACAACACTGACCTGAAACATTTAACTCTTTTGGCGCAAGTTCTTAATTTTCAGGAAATATTCAATGTATATACAAGAAGAAATTCATTATAGATTTTCCACAAATAAAATATTTTCCTAATTTCATCACAGTAGAGTCAGACAGTGTAAGAAACTTTAAAGGTGGAATTTACCATGTACCTTTCAGGTTCAGCCGTGTCCTGGTGGCTCGGTCTTGTGTTGGCCACTCTCCACCTGTGGCACCTCAGGCTGTATCGCATTCAGAGGACTCGGGACCTGTTCATCAAGAGACCATATGAAGGAGTATTTATAGAGCAGTCACTGCTTTTAAACACTCGATTTGACGTCCAGATGACTGACAGGCTGAAGCAGTAAGTGTGAGTGTGTGCTGTGTATGACGGATGGATCGGGATGATCCTACAGAGCGAGGTTCATGGGTGTTTAGAGACTTTAAGAGAAGTGTAGAGATTAGTCTGGTTCTGGTTTGTGCCTGAAATAAGATCAGAGGTACAATTATTTTATTCAGAAAATACAATTTAGCAGTGGTATCCGAGTTGTTTATGGTTGTGTTACTGTGCTGCATATTTATGTATGAGGATATGGTATAAGTCAGGATTTGGAGCCCAGGGATGCAGGTGTGTATATTTGTATACCTATTGTCAGCTCTAAAGATAAACCCATTTCTTAACTGCAGATCCTGTTATTTACAGATTCAGACCACTATACCCGGTGAAGGTGTTCCTCTGTGCAACCATGTGGCATGAGAGCTACGATGAGATGATGAAGATGATCATTTCAATATTTCGGTTTGTTTCACAGACCACTTTGTTAAATAATATAAATATACTGTACATTGCACAGTTTGTGTAATATTCTATTACAGATGCTGTTTTTTTCTCTACTTTTAACTGAATAATTTTTGTTTTAATGTTCATGGAAGACACGGAAAGCGTTGTGAGATTTCAGTATCTTCACTGTGGTCCTGGCAAAAACAGATTTAATGTCAACATCACAGTAGCTTTATGTGATTTGTGTAACTCTCCAGACTCGACAAGTACAGGCCGAGGAAGGAAGGAGAAACAAGTGATGTGTCTTTCGAAGGGCACGTCTATTTTGATGATGCCTTTAGAGATGTTCCTGAAAGTAAAGGGCGTCACGTCAACCAATATGCAGAGATGCTTGTTGAAATTATCAGAGAGGTTTACAGGTAATGTGAAACTATGAGAGTTTGTTTATAGGAAAATGAAGTGATGTCTCCAGTGTTCATGTTCTTTTGAACACTAGTAGCTTTTATCTTCTGTCATCAGCATCTTCTTGAACACTGATGAAGGCCTCTTCAGAAAGCAGCACCAGATCCCGGATCAGAAGCTGGTGAGGACACCGTATGGAGGACGTATCGTGGTCACCATGCCTCATGGAAACATGCTGGTGGTTCACCTCAAGGACAAGAATCTGATCCGCCACAAGAAGAGATGGTCTCAGGTAGGAAAATTCTGCAACATGGGTTTATGGCAATCCAGGTTAAAATTTTTGCAACATACAGTCAGGGAAAAAATTATTTGAACCCCAGCTGATTTTGTAAGTTTGCCCACTAACAAAGAAATGATCAGTCTACAATTTCAGTGGTAGGTTTATTTGAACAGTGAGAGACACAACAATAACAAAAAAATCCAGAAAAATGCATTACAAAAAAAGTTATACATTAATTTGCATTTTCATGAATGAAATAAGTATTTGATCCCC